TTTTAAAGTCATTTGTATTTTCTCCTGCTACTTCACGGATTCCTATCAGTCTTATGTTATTCTTCTTTGCATCATCTAGAAGTTGTTGGATCAATTTCTCATGATCCCTTACTGCTTTTAAGAGACCTCTCTTTTCACAGTCACTGACTGCAATCCTATCTTCTATATCTGAAATTCTGTCTTCGCAATCTTTTATTCTGTTGCGTACACTTTCAATTGAGTGTTTAATCTCCTGGGTATCTGTTTGAATCTGTTTTATGGATTCCATTTCTTTCCTCTGTTGGGCATTCATTGTTTCCATTTCTTTCTTATGCTGGGCCTTCATGGCTTCTATCGTATTCCTGAGCTCATCTGTTTTTTTGTCAGTTTCTGCTCTAGAGTCTCGAATCATGACTTCCATTTTGCTCACTATCTCTATGGTTATCTGGGAGATTATTTCTATTTTGAATTTTTCTAGAGCCTGATTGATCTGTTTTGTTACTACCTGTGCTATGGGTTCAGGGTGTCCTGCTGGTTCACTATCAGACTTGTCATCCTCATTTGCCCTACTGTTGCCATTGGTGAACTGGGAAGTCTGTCTTTGTGTCTTGCTTAAGTGTTTTCTCATTTTTATTTTTGTTGTTGGGTTGTCTTTGGTTTAATTTCTGGATTATTACTTAAATCTTCCTGATATAGTTGCACTTTGGCTTTTGAGACTCTAATGACTCATAGACATTCTCATTTTCATAATAACTCACTAAATCAATCACATTTCTTTATCCCAATTGATACATTCAGCAGCGCAATAGGATAAAGCACAACTTGCAAATTGACCATTTGTGGTAGTCATTAATCTATCACCTTTAAACGATGTGAATTAAATTAAAATCAATAAGCAGCCCAAAATATGTTTGCAGTGAATACGCTTTTCACTATAGCATCTTTACCATTTAGGATGGGAGCCTAGACAGAGTTAGGACGAGAGGAGTAGATAAATATAAGAATTGGAGAAAGGTTCAAGTGAAGCCAGAGGACATAAAGTGACCATACAATCTTTACGAAACTATTAAATTCAAAAGGGATAGACAATAGACAGAGTGCAAGAATAAGGACAAGAATATATCCCCTTAAAAGTAAGAGGGGCTTGTTTTCCCTTGAAACTACTGACCCATGAGTGAGGTAAAATGACAGAAGAAAAAAACATAAAGAAAATGATAAAAGGAGAAGTCTGAGTTAGGGCAGGAGCAGGAATAGAAAGGGAGATGAGGGATAATATGGTGGAGCAAGAGACTGAGTTGGAGAAGGAGGACAGAATAAAGAAAGAAATTGAAGGGTGGAATGAGGAAAAGAGAGAAAGAAAAATAATAATTTAAAGGGTCTCTTTCAGACTATGTCTCTGCTGTCATAATATACCATGTGCACAGCCATGTGCAGAACCAAGTCCCCTGATCTCAGCTAGCCAATGGCAGGTCCACACGACTCAGACCTCAAGCCACAAGGCCTAAATTGAGTTTCCCAACCTGCAGGATTGAACTCCACACAGTTCTATTACAGGTTTCCCTCACCCTTTCTTTAAAGAAGTTCAAAGTTGGGAGCTCATAAAAATACCCTTCATAACCACCTATGCCTCTGCAGAGTGGGTCCCAGGATTGGCCCAATCAGGAGGTCTGAGAGCGTGGGGGAGGGGGTGTTTCAAGGGCGTCTTCCTGGCTGTGGCTGGTGTCAGAGCAGGCAGGAGATGGCTCAGACCCACGTGGTCCAAGCAGGCGACCGGAGAGATCTCAGCTATATACATTCTTGAAAGCCAACTTCAGTTTTTCTTATTTTTGGAATCGACTATAACATTGGTTTTTTTCTTTTAATTCTCTGTGCAGGAATTAGTTCATGCTGATACCTGCAAAACATTTAAATCTAATTCTAATGAAGATACTGTAACAATGTACCCAGAGAATTTTTGCCCCAGTAACTGTTATTCTTGATTCCTTCGGGTCTTGATTTCCTCTATCTTCATCTTTAACATTCATGGTACACACAAAATTACCAAACCACTTAGCTCTCACCATATTTTATGAAAAAAGACCATGAGTGTATGTATTTTTCTTTTGTTGCCACAGCCGCCATTCTGTAGACCCAGGAATGGTTTCAGATGGAAAGTTGGAGCAGAATGTGTGTTAGTGAGGTCTGCCTGCCAAGAAGGAGAAACCAAGGTCATATTTATGTTGGCAGTCGGTTGGACTGAAATGAACCACTTCAAAGGCAGGATGGCTAGACTTGTACCTGAAGTGGTTGGCTCTGAATAAATGGCTTTGCCTTCCCACAGTTCAAGTCATTTAATTATAAACGACCAGTCATATAATTATAGAAATGGTTCATGTATTAAAAGAAAATGGTGTAACAGGTTAGCACACTTGATTGAAAGACATTTTGAAACATTTTCCCTAGAAATGAACTCTGCCTCAAGAAATATGGTACATTACTTCTCAAACCCTGATTTGTAATCAGAATGGATCTACTTCCATAATAGAAGTTACAGTGTGAGGTGTGTCACCTCAGTGATCATCAGATTCCCAGTGTTCCCTTGTCAATGACATACTTGGACAGGAAGAGAGTGCTTCCCTCACCCATGGGAATTATTCTACTCTAAGAAAATTGCATTTTGAACTTCACTTTTACTAATAAAGCAACAGCAATGAAATTCTCTTCCAGAAACTGTCCCTTCTCAGCTGTTTCCTAAGAGGAGGCTATTAGAATGTGAACTTGAATGAGGAGGAGAATATTTTGATCTCACTTGAAATTATCATTTGTTGAAAATTTCCATTCAACACAGTTGAATGAATAGTATGGAAAATACTCATATCTTGCCAACTGTATAAAATAAAAATTCATTACAATTAACAGTTTGAAGCATTTACCTAGTTCCATGCCTCTCTCATGTACCCATTAATCCATCATGTCAAAGTATTTCAAGTAAGTTGTAGACACAAGTACATTTTACCACTAGAGACTTCTACACACACAGTGTTACTATTTACTTTTCATGTAAAATTTTTAGACTATGAAATCCATAAATCCTCAAGGATCCATTTAATGAATTTGATATAGAGAGATACCATCACAACTCAGATCACTGTCCAGATACACAACATTACCATCCCACTAGAAAGTTCCTTGTGCCCTTTCTCATTGAGTTCTAAAGTCTGTTTCTGAAGGCAACCACCATTCTGATTTTTTTTCACCATAGAATAGTGTGGCCCATTTAAGAACCATATATAAATGAAATCAAATAATATCTTCCTTTGCATAAGACATCTTCCATGCAGTGTGAGGTCCTTGAGATCCAATCCATTTGAGGTAATTCATTTGAGATTCACCCATGTTGCACATCTCAGTAGTTTGTCCCTTGAAGGCCTATGTTGTTTCCAATGTGGGCTTGTACAGGCCTTTTTCTGTTGACATATACTTTTATTTCTCTTTGGTTACAAACATGTGAGTGAAATTGCTTGGTCATAAGGAGGTATATGTTTAGTTGTGTAAGAAACTGCTAGACCTTTTCCAAAGTGGGTTGTATCATTTTACCCTTTAACTACACATGTATGACTGCTCACATTGCCTGCAGCCTTGTTAGTTTTTTTTAAATTTTAGACATTCTGGTGTGTTTGTGGTTGCATCTCCATTGTGACTTCATATTCATTTCATAATGATTAAGCATGTTGAGTGTCTTCTCCATTCCCACTGGCTGTGTTTATTTCAGTATCTTCTTTTGTGAAATGTCACATCTCTTGTCCACTTGTAATTTTTAAAAATCTTTTTATGATGGGTTGATATTCTTTATGTATTTTGGATACCAGTCCTATCTAAGATGATCTGAGATAATATCTTTTCTTGGTATTTTCTCTCACTCTTTTGCTTGTTCATTCTTTTAATGGTTTCTTTTAAAGAGTAGACATTTATATTTTGATAAAAAGCTAACATCATTTGGGAGGGAAGTTTAGCTTTTACAGTTAGATGTGTAACTATCTTAAATTAGTCTTTAAATATGGTGTGAAGTGTGATTATAGTTAGGTTTTTTTACTCCATATGGACATTCAGGTCTACACAGTTTGCTTTTGTGGTTTGTCCTTCACACTCATTTTCTGACCTTATCCTTTACATACCACAAATATCCAGTGTTTGTTCATTGAATTGCACCAAAGATTCAGAGGATAATAGAAGATTCTGGCAGTCTTCTAATGTCTTGGTTTTGGAAATAGCTTTACAGGACCCATCCCCCATGTTCAGTGCCAGTGTGTAAGAGCTGTTTAACCCTGAGTGTTACCTGCTAAGAGTGTAAGTTGAAACAACAAGCTTGATTGCTGGGATCTTTATCTTTGGCTTCTTTGGATTGATGAATAAATATCAATTCAGCTTTTTACTGAATTCTTAATATATGGTGCCTCATTCCTTCTACTTGTTTTATTTTTATAGCAAATTTGCATACTAGATTAAGGAATCTCAGTAACAAAGCTTTTACATTATTCCTTAATCTAGTTAAAAAGCTGCAAAGAAAGGAGTTCTCTAAGACAGGGAAATCTGGAAGAAAGCCAGGAACTTGATTCTCATGTAAGATTTCTACATGAAAGAATTAACAAGTATATAGAGATAGTAAAACTCATTAAGTAACTAAACTTACTAAATTCTGCATCATTCCAGTCAAAGATAACTAAAACTGTTCCATTTTCTAATATAATTCCAAGTGAATGGTAATATCTGCAGTACCAAAAATTTTTGGAACTATATTTGGGCTCAAATCTCTAAGCTTAAGTATTGATAAGAGAGCAAAAATACTTTCAGATTGTGGATAGCTTCAGAGTTCTCATCCTGCCCTTGACCTTACGAAATGTCCTCATAGTCAGGTTGTGACTATGAACAGAAAACTGCTCACCCCAGAAAGCCAGAGTGTTCACCAGTGTACAGATTTGCCCTGGGTCCTGTCCCCATCATGTCCTGGAACACGTGGCTCACCTTTCTTCCAATTGTTGCAGGTATGCTGCAGAAGTGTCCTTCTATTGATGACTTTGTGGATGCCCTTGTTTCTGACTTGGATCTGGACTTTGAAACTTTCTTCATGGATTCTCAATAATGGAAACACCTTGTATCTTTTAATCTAGCTCATACAGATATTAACTGTTGGAAATGCTATAGTTGTGCAAACTTGTTTCTGATTTCGTTATGCACTTGTGTAATAAGTTCTGGCAAACCTCAAACTGATGGAACTTGGAATAAATAATTTGTTTGAATTATACTGACTTTCTGCCTGCTTGGCGACTTTCTGAACATATGGAAATGTACTTGGTGAACTAGTAAACTCCACATAGAGATGCTACAAGTGTAGGGTATGGACATCTTCTTAAAATGACCAAGCTCCCCCAAACGGTTCCCCTTTCTGTTGATTTTTAATTGCTTAACTTAGAAACTTAGCTAAAAACAAGATCATTTTAATTTAGGACACAATTTGAAGCAATCTTCATAAAGATCACACATAGAGTTCTTTTAAGAATAATTACCATTTCTTGCTGGGTTTGGTGGTACTCACCTATAATCTCAGTACTGTAGTTAGGAGGCTGAAACAGGAGGATCACTGTGAGTTCCAGGCCAGCCTGAGTTATATAGTGGGTTCAAAGCCAGCCTGAACTATACAGCGAGACCTTGTCTCACAAAGCCAATGCGGGGAAAAATGACTACTATTTCTTAAGACCACTTTACAGTGCTCTAAAAGTACCCATTGTCAGTTCAGAAATCAAGGACGGTTTCCAAAGAATTTTTAATTATTTGTTTTGGTTTTTTCTGAGTATTTAGGCACTATATACAGATGGAGTCAGAACAAAAAGAACTTGAAGTTGTTTATGCTTTTCTAGCATGATCTCAAGGATACTATTAATGAGCCGTGCCAAGGTCAGGCAACAGATCCAGAAGGAAATGAATTCAAAATTCAAACCTTGTCCAGAGCCTTAACTCCTAATGCTGCTGAACACTGTATTACTGCATAGGTGTTAATATCAGGAAAGAAGTCATTTAATGGGATTTTCCCACCATAAAAGTCAAATTAATTATAGCTTTTCAGTCTAGCAGCCTCTTCCTGCTTTTCATTAAATGATCAGTGATAGAACAGAAAGATTAAAAAGTCTTCCAAACTAAGACACACATCCAACCCTAGGTATAGAATATGAACAATTTCTACAAGCTGGTAAACAGATGGGACCAAAGGGACAGCTATCATCAGGGAGCCACCTGATTGGGTTCCCCTGGATGCAGGGCAGTCCGGTTCTCCTGCCCTCGTTGGACAGGAAAGCAGATCAGAACAGCTGGTGCACCCGAGACAGGGCCTCTGAGCTCACCACAGGGCTGTGGTCGGGCCTCTTCCCACTTTCCTCTTGCAGTTTCGCTCCACGTGAAGACCAGCAGACCACTCACGGAAATGCTCGGCAGGCTACGGGTCAGGAAGAAGAAGGCAGGGGTTGGGTGCTGCTGGCAATAGGAAGAGCCCCAACCCAGTGCCTGGGGAGGGATCGAACTGCTCTCACGTCCCCACGGCCCCTTCTCAGTGTTTGGAGGAGAGATGTCAACCCAACAGATTTGCACTTACAGCGCTCTCCATTCTGGGAGACGGACTTGGAGGAGCCCAGCTGCAGGTCAGTCTGGAAAGACGCTTCACCTGACTCCCAGGTGCCTCAACAGTGACAAACCCTGTATCTTTATCAACCCATTTGCACTTGAGAAAGCGAAGAGGGAAATCTGTGTGGGGCCTGCGTGCAAACATTCTTCAGAAAGAGCACCGGGAAGCATCATGGGAAGGCAAGGAAAGTTGCAACTTTGAAAATTATTTTCCGGAGGAATTACAGCACATTGTAAAAGCCTGCAGGAGTTCAGGAGAATTGAGAAAACCTGGTGCTTACGAAACTGATAACCATAAAAAAGGAGCAGCAAAAATAAAAAGACAAAAGATGCTAAAGGTTTAGGAGATAGGTAGAATAAGAAAGAAATGCAGAGAAATAGCACAGTGCTTTAACCATTATCAGAAGCAGAAGAGATCAGAGTTGTCAGGGATGAGTGTGAGACAGGTGAAAGGAGTGAAGGTTAAAGGCAGTGATGGTGAGACCGCAACGTGGAGAGGGGAAAGGAGCAAGGGAAGGAAGGGAGAGATGAATTCTGGATTCCACACCAAAAAGTGAAGAGAAACTCTTACCTAGACACATTTACTCTTTTTGTGAGTTAAGAGATAATTAAAGCATAACCCAGCATATCCCAGTTTCAGAGCAGTCCTCAGGAACTGTTAGTGGCAATCCACAAACTCAAAGGCCCTGTCGTTAAATGTTTGAAAGCTCACTGCGGGCGTTTGCAAACCTTTGGTCCGAAAACATAATTTAGCATCTCAGGCGTGACCCAAGACTTCCTAAACATATTTCATTAGGGGACCCACCCCTCTTTTTAAAAAGAGTACCTACTGATATTTTTCAGAATACTGGGAAATAACTGCTAGAAGCATTCAGCTGCATATAACAGGCTTACTATAAGAAACAAAAATTCCAGGCATCCCAGAATGCAATTGGCTATTACTGTTAACACCCTGAAAAAAGTTTTGCGAGGTAAAGGCTGAGGTGCAAAATGACGTGCTCAGATAATAAGCAGGCCGCAGGAAGCAATGTTAGCTTTATACTGTTCTTTAGAACTTGCTAAGAGAATAAGTGATTTTGACCAAAAGCCAAAGAACAAGAAATCCCTGGAACTTCTAAGAATGTGAAGGGGTCACTGCTTTGCCACAGCAACAGCTGGATAAGTCATAATAGCAAATTATTTTATTAGGAATGTTTTCCCTTCTCGTGGGAATAACCCGTAAGTACACAACATCCTTCCTCTATTATGGTTTACCAGCAGATTACAAAAATCTAAAGCTCTTACTACTGAGTAAACTCTAAAAATAATCTAGAAAAGAACTGGAAGAAAATATAATATTAATGTAGTCATTCATTTTGGGATTTTGGCCTTTTATTTTTCTCCTGACTTTCTCTATTTTCACTTTTTTAAATGTGCGCAATATGTTAATTTCAAAGATAATTTAAAATGTACAGTTTTATTAATCACAACAACTGGATGTGAAGCATTTTCCCAATTCTGAAAAACTGCTTGATAATGTAAGCCAATTCAGAAAACATATCTGAGTCAGTCATTCAGCAATTTTTAGAGTAAAAAACTGTATACATATCCAAAATTTAGCCTGCTTTGGTCAAAGAAGTTGACATAAAATGTTGCTTACAGTAGTGCTTAGCATTTAAGAGTTTCCCATCTGTGAGATCACTGTCAGCCCTGTGTTATGGGGGAGGCAGGTGGGCATGGCGACTGATCCAGTGTCAGAAAACCAGTCACTGGCAGAGGCGTGACCTCGTCCGCTGCCCTTTCCACTTCTCACGTCTTGAGGAGCTCGTGCTTTCTTCTGCAGGCTCCTAGGTGCACATTTGGACATGTGCAGACTGTCAGACAGCCACATGAGCATCACAGGCCGCACAGAAGTTTCCCTGCTCAAGGCAGCTGGTGCCCATGGACAGGTAGAAAGTACAGTAAAATGTGATGTTATGTCAAACATCAGAGCAGGAGAGACAAGGACTGTAGTCAGTGCAGGGCTGGGATGACAGGGTGAAGACAAGCAGAGCCCTCTTGGAATATTCATCATTGAACTCGGTTTAGGCAGGATGGTGTTGAGGTGTGGTTAGGTAAATATGTCAGCCACAGCTTATCAAAATGATGCCTCAGACCTGATTTAGGAAAAATGTGTGGAAATGGGAACTAGGCACAAGGTCGTAGTTACCAAAGACGAATCTTCAGGTTGATGTTGCTTAGTTTGCACCATCTAGAAATTGTGAGCAGTCCTCCAGGTCTGTATCTCATCTACAAAATTACTTTGAAGGACCCTGCCTGATCCCTTGCTGAAATGTATGTGTCTTAGGCCACAGCACTCCCTTTACATCCCCTGCCTTCAGCTATTTTGTCCTCGGATAATCTGAGTGGGGGGAGTCACATTAAGTGTCACCATTAAGACTGACACTTAGGAGACACCATACAAAAGTAATCTCTCACCCGGTATGCTGGTACCCATCTGTAGTCCCAGGTACTAAGAAGCTGAGGTGGGAGGATCGCTGGACCCCATGGGTTCAGGATCAGCCTAAGCAACATAGACCCATCTCAAGAAGAAAAAAAGATTATTGAACACACATAATTATGAAACAATTGTATGATGTAAAATATGTGTGGTGTACTGCCACTCCTGCAAGAGTACCAGTTAGGGATGCTTCCAAGAGGAACTAGACTTTTTTCTTCTTCCATCTATCCGTCTATCTTCTTTCCTTCTTTCATTTCTTTCTTTTTCTTTCTTTTCTCTCTCTTTTTTCTTTTTTCTTTTCCTTTTCTTTATCTTTCTCTCTTTCTTGTACTGGGATTGAACCCAGGGCCTTCACACTGACCTACATCTCCAGCCATTCTATTTTTTTTTAAGATAGGGTCTTGGTGAGTTACCCAGGCTGGGCTCAAACCTTTGATCATCCTGCTCAGCCTCCCAGAGTGCTGAGATTACAGATGTACACATGGCTCAAGCAGAATTAGTCTTAAGCAAAACCTTGGAATAAACGATAGGTGTGACTTACAGAACTCAAAAGAGAGTGCATATCAGTTTAGTTAGGTCACCTTGGCAATTTAGGAAGCTCTAACTCTCCCAAAATGCAAGAAGTATTTTATAATAGAGAATAATAAAGGATTCAGGAACATCAAGGTGCCCAAATTTACAGAACACCCAAGAAACAAATACATCAACTGTGTAAATGTACAAGTGTAAAAGGCACCCGACTTACATTTTTCCTTCCAAAATGTAAACAGAAAGCATGCTGTTTTTAAGAATGCAATGTTGGATGTCAAGCAGCTTGCCATTTTAGAACTTGTCCTGAACCCCATGTTTCTCAGTCTGTCTGTATTACCTGTGTTTCTTGCACATCAAATTCAGCCCCCACCATCAAACTGTTTTATCTGAGATACTCCTCCTGAGTCCCTGTTATGCATGATTAATAGCATCACAGTCTATATGCCTCAGTGGAAACCCTGTAAAGGAGTGAGTTGCCTTCATCCTCCTGGTGTGCTTACCTTTCCTGTGGTACTTAACATGAACTTAATTTATTTGTTCAGCAAGATGGACTATATCTTACTTATCATGGTTTCTTTTTTTGCAAGGTAAGTATCAGAAAGTCAGT